CGGGCCTAGACCCTGAAGGGTCTAGGCCCGAAACGTCAGCCTTCCTGCTCCTCTGATGCTGCTTGGCCTGCTGTGTTCATCCAGTTCTACACCTTGTTATCTCAGATTCTGTGCTGAGTCTGCTTTTGTTGAAAATTGCATCAGATAGCCCTTGTTATTCAGAATGCAACCACCATTTCCCGGTCATTTTCCACTATTGGATGCCTCATGAACATAAGAACTAGGAGCAGAAGTAGGCCATCCGGCCCCTCGAGCCTACCCCACCCTTCAATAAGATCATGGTTGATCTTTTAGAGACTCAGCTCCACTTATCCACCCACACACCATAACCCTGAGAAGAGGCAGAAGTGAAAATTAGCTTAATTGTTTCCTACCCTTCACCTATTTTCATATCTAATTTCCACAACTCAAAATTTTAACAATAACCTGTTTTACAGAGCTTTTGTCACAAGTTGCTCACTAAGTTATTGTTGGACACACAGAATTGTGGAATTGTACAACATAGAAGGTGGCCATTTGACTCATCATGTCATTCTGGCTCCTGAAAGGGCTACCCAATTTGTCCAATGGCCAAGGTTCAAGACTATGTGCTAAAGGCCGCATTAAAGGCTAATCCACCTAACCTACATATCTTTGGACTGTGGGAGGAAACTGGAACACCGAGACGAATCCCACGCAGACACTGGGAGAATGTGCAAACTCCACACAGACGGTCACCCAAGGCTGGAATCGAACCCGGCTCAGGTGACTGCAATGGTGTATGTTCTAGGAATAGGCCCAACCTGTGCCATGTACAACAGAGGCAGTGCCACCCACCTAATGACCAAGTTTTACTCAAAATGGAGAAGAGGCGGTGCTCCCAAAAGCCCAGTTTCTGCCTCACCTTGGCGATATGCTTCTCCTAAGTTTTTGCGCATGACCTGACCCTTCTGAATCTGGCACTAACAGTGCTAACTGTTTTTACTAATATCAAAAATATACTTTATTCAACAAAAACATCTTTATACACATACATAGTCACTGAAGCAGTTTGGTTTTGTACAGAAATACAGATTAAGTTTATATATATTTGAAGCATCATTGAACTGTCTTTCCCCACTGCACCTTGGTGGCAGCTGCCCCACGCTGTAGTACAGGCCTCAGCACATAGTTTTGAACCTTGGAATGTGCCAGTCTGCAACACTCGGTTGGGGTCAACTCCTTGCTCTGGAAGACCAACGAGCATCTTTCACCAAGTCGATGTCCTTCAGGCACAGTCGATATTTATCTTAGTGTGCATCCTGGAGAACAGACCGTTGAGCAGAGTCCTGTGTCATGGAACTACTCGGGACAAACCTCGACAAAAAACATTGTATCTTTCACAAAACTTCCTTTGCAACATTCCAGCAGAAGGTATGTGACAGTCTCTAAACCCCTGCAGCTGCTTTGACAGTCTGCTCAGGAAACAAACTGACAGGATCCACTCTTTCCTTTTCCTACAGGGTTGTGAGGACGCTACATACTGACATATTCCTGATGAACTTGTAGTCAAAGATGCTTCTCTTTGCGAATTTCTCCACAAAGGAGAGTGATTTGGAATGGTCCAACTAATGGGGACAGGTAGAACTTCGATACAAAGTGACACTTAGTGTTTGTGTTCTGACAGTCTACGTATATCTTGATGCAGCCACACACAAAGGTGCCATCAGAATGAGGGCAGCGTTGGGTATGTTCCTCTCTACCAAAATTTTGTACATTGTGTTCCTGTGGACACAGTCCATCTTAGACCTCCAAATGAAACGCTGAAGTGTGGTATCCTGCAGTCCTGCAGAAACAGGAGGTCCGCTTTGGTGTTGGCTAGGCAAGCCAACGTGGAAACACATCGCATAGTAGATTTAATGCTACACATGTCAAAACTGGTCATTTTAAAATCCATTTTGAGAGTTTATAGAATTAGCCTTGGACCCAATGTCCATTCACCCATGGATTTGTCACTGGCGGTCCCTGCATCACCGTGGCGTGGACGCTCTCGGCACAGAGCTAGCCATCCTGTTCCTCCCAGGGAAGATTGCCCTGATCCAGTGTTGTCAGGGCAAGAATAAGGCCAGGAAAGTCTGAATTGGAGTTCGATAGAGGGTCTGTCTGGCTCCACTCCTGACACAGAGCATCGTGGCTCACAGTTGCCAAGAACTGTGGTACCCCTTTGTTCCTGATGGCTGGAGATTGGGCTTCACCGAGCCTCTCATGATGTATGGTGTTTCGAGATTGGGGGAGTGCTCTCTCTTCCTCTCCCATGGTGCTGTGTCTCTTTTTTTTTCTGTTAGTGGCTATCTCTCCACACATTTTCATCATCAGAGGAGCTGCTGGTGTGTCCAACATGCAGCTGCCTCTTTCTGTTTTGCTGTGAAACTGGAGAGGTGGGGAAATGTGTCTTCCTTTTCCAGTTGTTTCACACTGGTATCCACTCCCCTTCCCTTTTGTTTCCTTCTTCTCCATTGATTCCAGGATCCATGCTGGCTACCTTTTCCTCTTCTCTGTCCTATCCCTCCTTCTAGATGCCCCTTGTTTCAGTTTTCTTGCTGGAAGGTAGCACCTTACTGTCCTTTTGCGGGTCCAGAGTGCTCGTTGCCACTTCCAGCCATTGAGCGTGTGTGGCACCAGCCCCCGCTCCGCTCCGCTCCCCAACCACCCCCAACCCCACCCCCCACCCCCCAACCACTCCCCCTCTCGAGCAGGCCTTGTACACATACCCCTCACAGATTGCAGCTCTTGGACCTCCACTATGTTAGAGATGCCTCCTAGATGTATGTATCTTCCCAAGTGGTCAGGGCATCTGCTGCCAGAACATGGGGGTTGTATATATGGATTATAACAACCTGACTCCTCCTTGCAGGGAGAACAAACAATGGTGCCATTGAGGGGATCTTCATCTCCTTTCTTCTCAAATACCTTGAGGAGAGGCTTTACACATACTTCACGCTTCTGAAGGCTGCATTGAAGTAGCTCCTAGTGGGGAAATCCTGCAGATGGGAAATGTGTTTTCTATGAACCTGCAGTAATCCAGGAGGACTCTCTTCACGGAGAAAGGTCCGGTCGACAGGCAATCTGTCCTCCACCACCTTTGCAGTCACCCTGATTGTATTTCAGACCCCCTGGCCTGGGTTGTGGGCACTAGCAGAGGCCATAGCTTTGGTTGACTGGTCACTGCCAAAGCCAGCATCAAGATGCACCAACTGCAGCTCAGCTCAACTGACAATCCTCCAAGTTCTAATCACAACTGCAATCCAGCAATGATCTCGATCTTCTGATGATGAAAGTTCTCAGCTTAGACTCCTCCTGGGAGAATTATATTCTGGGATCATGGTATCTCTTTTACCAGGTAACCACTGAGCCACCTTGCTGCCCGAAGTAGAAGGTAGGCAGCATCCGTGAAGAAAGAAAGAGTTAAACTTTAAAGCTCAATTAAAAAGTGTCTCTCCACAGTTGCTGAGTTTCTCCAGCATTTTTAGATTTTCCTTAATACACTGTAACAGTATTGAGACAAGAAAATTAGCATGAGAAAATGGAAACCTTTCAAAATCTGTCTCTCTCTTCCTAAATGTTTCACAACCTGATGATCAATGGCAATGAATAAACCAAAACTTAGCAAGCTACTCAATCATGGAAGCCATCCCAATCAATTCTGAATTCATGTGCATCTAATTCCCAAACATGCACCTTTCAGAATGTCTCATATCTAACCATTTAAACCTTCAGAAGTTCTCAGACTACTGGTTTACATAGCACATTGCATATTGTTGAAAGTTGAAATTATGCATTTTTCCTGTTCTTTTGTAGATGCTGGAAATAAATAATGATGCAGATACACAGAAGAGCATTTTACTCACATATCATCTATACAGATCGTGCTATCCATTACTTCCATCATTTGAGTTTTTTGGCCTCCATTACTCAATCTAAATTCCACAAGTTGATCATTGTAAACTAAAAACACTCCTGACATCCATTTTAAATTTGCCTTTTCATTAAAGTTATGTTCCTCTCTCCCACTTTTGGTTTAGATTTGGAAAAAAAAAGTGTATCCATTCTTTTTGGGATTTGCCTCTTTGCCTTCACCTCTGCGTTTTATCAATTCTGGTCTGATTTAATTCATTCCAATATTACATGCTATTATCTCAGCTCCCTTGGTCCTAAGCTATGAAATTCCCTCCTTAAACTTCTCAGTCTCTTTTAAGAGACTCTTTAAAACCTACCACTTTCACCAAGTTTTTGCTAACTTGTCCTAATTACTGCTAATGTAGCTTAGTATCAAATTTTGATTGATTAGTGCTACTGTGAAATCTGTTCAGATGCTTTACTACATTGTTATATTTCTTTACGTAACTTACCTGGTGCATTTCAAGACTCCACACTCCCTCATTGTTACAACTAACTCCTCGATGTTAGGATCAGTCTTGCAGCTCTTCATGATCAAAACTAGAGTTTGTAAAACAAAAAAAAGTAGTACTGACATGTTCACTGACACCATTGCTGCCTCAGCAAATAGCTTTTCTAGTTTGTTCGAGGCTGGCATTTTACAAAAACTCACTCTCACTTTTTCATTCTTTCGTGGAATGTGGGCATTGCTGACTGGCCAGCATTTATTGCCTGTCCCTACTTACATTTGAGGAGATGGTGCTGAGCTGACTTCTTGAACCGCTGCAGTTCCAAAATAGCAGCAGAGAAATGGCAGAAGAATTTAGATAGAAAGTTGTTGTTAGTTTTCTTTAGAAGTCAAATCTGTATTATATAGAATAGGTTTCAAAAAGTACCAAGGACAGTATGGTGGTTCAGTGGTTAGCACTGCTGCCTCACAGTGTCAGTGACTCAGGTTTGATTCCAGTCTGTGTGCAGTTTGCATGTTCTCTCTGTGTGAGTTTCCTCCAGGTGCTCCAGTTTCCTCCCATGGTCCAAAGATGTGCAAATTAGATGAACTGGCCATGCTAAATTGCCCCATATAGTTTCCAGTAAAGTGCAAGCTAGGTGGATTAGCTATGTTAAATGCATTGGGTTGAGAAGTTGGGAAGGGTGAGATGCTCTTTGGAGAGTCAGTGCAGACTCAATAGGCTGAATGGCTTCTTTCTGCACTAAGGATTCTATGATAAAACAGAAATAAAAATTGGTATAGAAATTGACAACTGGAGTTAGTTAACTTTTAAAGAATTTTCAAAAAATGTATTTGAGAGTTGCTATAGCAAAATCTACTTCTGATGACTTATTATTGTAATTTTATTTTAATATATTTAAAAGCTGGAAATTTATAGTGCAGTCCAGAGAGACTGCCATTGTTGTTGAAGCATTAATATACCTAAGAAATCCTCAAATGAAAAAAGAAAGATAGTTTTCAATAAACTAAAAATTATTACTCAAATATCTTGGAGAAGTCACAAGTTATTCAAGGAGAATGTTGCTCACAGCAAGTTGATCTCATCAGTTGAGGCAATTAATGGAATTTATGGTTAGATGAGTGAAAAATCTAATGCTGTCAGTAGGATAGGTTACTTGTGAATGAAATACTGAACAGATGTACTTAACTTCCACTAACAATTATATCAGAATATAAACAACACTGGTTTATTGCCATTACTGCAACAAGTAATGAGAATTTAAAAAGAAAGACTAGTTGTCTATTATTGATTTTTCTTTTGTTTATTCATTCGTGGGATGAGGGCTAGGTGAGCATTTATGGTCCATCCCTAATTTCCCAGAGGGCAGTTAAGGGTCAACCACATTGCTTAGGGTTCTCCACCATCCACCATCCCCCATATTCTTTCTCAAAAACTTAAATCTACGTACAGGGACTAGGAGACAATCAGTAAATGGAGACAGTTTTTCCGTGACTACCTTGCCTCAACTTACTATTATCATATACGCATCTGTCAAATTGCTCCTCAAACTCTGTGTCTAAGGGAAACCACCCGAGTTTCTCCAACCTAATCTTGTAACTAAAATCCCTCATCCCTCCAACCATTCTGGTAAACCCCTCTGAACACTCTGAGACTCTTGCATCACTGGGACGCCCAAAATTCCACTTCAAGGATGTTTGCAAGCTTGGCATCAAGAGCCTAAACATAGATTATTGCTTCTGGGAGTCATTAGCTGATGACAACACAGGAAAATGTTCAAACACCCTGTTGGCTCATGTGCACCACCTCTTCAGCCATTGAAAAGGATGCATTTCCCTCAGTGCTGACCCTCTGACAGCACAGTATTTCCTCACGACTAACCATCTGACAGTGTATCGCTCAATATTAAGGAAGTACTTCACCTTCTGAGGGTCAGTATTAAAATTAGCCTTCCTCCACATTTAGATCTGGTCTATCCTTTTCCCCATCACTATTTTAAAACTAATAGAATTATGGTCACTGGTCCCAAAGTGCTCCCCCACTGACACATCAGTCACCTGTCCTGCTTTATTTCCCAAGAGTAGGTCCAGGTTTGCACCTTCTCCAGTTGGTACATCCACATACTGCACAAGAACATTTTCTTGTACACACTTAAATTCATATCCATCCATGCCCTTAACACTATGGCAGTCCCAGTGTATGTCTGGAAAGTTAAAATCCCCTACCATAAGCACGCTATTATTTTTATAGGCAACGGAGATCTCCTTACAAATTTGTTTCTCAATTTTCCGCTGACTACCGGGGTGGTCTATAGTACAATCTCTCTCAATATTGGCCCTCTGACAGTGCAGCAGTCGCATTATATTGACCCACAGTACAGCACACCCTTGTTATTGACCACTGGCAGTGCAGTATTCCCTCCGTACTGACCGTTCGAAAGTTCAGCATTCCCTTGGTATGGACTATTTGATAGTGCAGCACTCCCTAAATGTTGATTCTTGGAAAATGCAGCAAACACCAGTACTGACCCGCTTGACAGTGCAGCATTCCCTCAATACTGACCCTCCGACAATGTGGTACTCCCACAATACTGACACTGAGGGAGCCGGGCTCCCTTAATACTGACCCAGTGACAGTGAATTCTCCCTTAATAGTGACCCTCAGACAGTGCAGCACTCCCTTAATATCAGCTTTCCAACATTGCACTACTTCCTTAATATTGAACCTCTGACAGTGCAGAACTCCCTCAGTGGTGACACTCAGAGAGCCATGCTCCCTTACTATTGACACTCTGACACTATAGCACTTTAATATTGACCCTCTGACAGGGCAGCTGTTTCTCTCTCTCTCTCTCTCAGTACTGACCCACCAACAGCGCAGCACTCATTTCTGACAGCCCACAGTGCAGCATTCCCTCATCATTGACCCTCTGACACTGTGGCACACCTTAATATTGACCTGCTCACAGTGCAGCACTCCCTTAATGTCAATTCTCTAAGGGTGAAGCACTCCCTTAATATTGGCCTTCCAGCAGTATAGCATGCCCTCAGTACTGACCCTCTGACAATGGAGCACTCCTTCATTACTAACTACCTGACAGGGGAGCACTCCCTCAGTCATGACCCTTGAAGTGTAGCACACCCTTAATACTGACCCTCTGACAATGCAGCACTCCCTCAGTACTAACTCTCCAACAGTATAACACTTCTTCAATACTGACTCTGTGATAATTCAGCACTCGCTTATCATTGACCCTTTGACAGTGTAGCACACCTTTTAACACTGACCTTCTGTAGTGCAGGACTCCCTTAATATTGACCCTTCAACAGTGAAACACATCCTCAGTGCTAACTCTCTGACATTGCAGCAGGCCATCAGCACTTACCCTCCAACAATGGAGCATTCCTCATTTGTGACCCTCTGACAGTGCAGCGTTCCCTCAATAGTGAACCTTCGACAGTGCAGAACTCTGTTATGACTCTCTGACAATGCAGCACTACCTCGATACTAACTGGCCGAAAGTGCAGCACTCCCTCAGTACTGACCCTCTGACTGACACTTTGAGAGAGCTCCCTTACTGTTGACTCTTTGACGCTGGAGCACTCCCTTAATATTGACACCATGACAATGAAGCTCTCCCTTAATACTGACCCTCTGAGAAGGCATTGTTCTCTCAGTACTGAACACCCACAGTGCAGCACTCTCTCATAATTGATCCTCTAATGGTGTAGCACACCCTTAATATTGACCTTCTGACTGTGCACAACTCCCTTAATGAAGACGTTCTGACAATGCAGCTTTCCTTCACTTGACCCTCTGACAGTGCAGCATTCCATCATTATTGACCCTCTAAGTGTAGCACACCCTTGACATTGACTGTCCAACAGTGCAGCACTCCTCAGTACTGACTCTACGACAGTTCAGCTCTCCCTTAATATTGCCCTATGACAGTCCAGCACTCCCTCAGTAATGACCCTGACAATGTAGAAAAGCCATAACATTGACCCTCTGCCAGTGCAGCCCTCCCTTAATATTGGCCCTCTGAAAAAGTGTGGCATTCCCTCAATAATGACACTGACAATGCAGCTTTCCCTCACTGCTGACCCTCTGACAGTGTAACACTCTCTCATCATTGACACTCTGACAGTGAGGCATACGCTTAATCTTGACCCTCTGACAGTGCAGCACTCTCTTAATATTGGCCTCCCAACCAGTGCAGTACTCCCTGAGTACTGACTCTATGACAGTGCAGCATTCCCTTGGTAGTGACCCTCTGAGTGTAGCATACCTGTAATATTGTCCCTGTAATAGTGCAGCACTTCCTTAATATTGGCCTTCCAATAGTGCAGCACTCCCTCAGTACTGACACTCTGACAGTGTAACATACCCTCATTAGTGACCTTCCTACAGTGTAGCACACCCATCATTTTGGCCCACTTACAGCATAGCATTCTCTTAGTGCTGACAATTCCAACGATGCAGTTCCCTCTCACTACTAACTCCCTCCACCACCAACATTCAGTAGCAGCAGTGTGTACTAACTACAAGATGCCATGCAGAAATTCAACAAAGATCCTCAGACAGCACCTTCCAAACTCTCAAATCACTTCCATCTAGAAGGACAAGGGCAGCAGATGATATGGGAACACCACCGCCTTCAAGTTCCCCTCCTAGCCACTCACCATCCTGACTTGGAAATATATCGCCGTTCCTTCACTGTCACTGGGTCAAAATCTTGGAATTCCCTCCCTAATGGCATTGTGGGTCAGCCCACAACAGGTGGACTGCAGCGGTTCAAAAGAACAGCTCACCATTACCTTCTCATTGGCAACTATGGAAGGGCAATAAATGCTGGCCAACCAGCGACATCCACATCCCACAGTAAATAAATTTTAAAAAAGTCAACCATATGCTGGGAGTCTGAAGGCAAATGTGGGCCAGACCAGGTAAGGATGGCAGTTTTCTTCCCTAACCAGATGGGTATTTCCTGATGATTGATAATGAATTCATGGGCATCATTAGACTGTTATTTGCAGGTTTTACTGAATTCAAATTCCATTATTTGTCATGGTTGAATTCAAACCTGGGACCCCAGAACAAGATCTGTGTCTCCAGATTAATTGCCCAGCAATAATACCACTCTGTCATGAAGATGGGAATTTCCAATAGAGAGATTAAGTTGACTGAGTGTACGTTCTCCCAAATTCAGAAGAATGAGAGGCGATTAACAAAATACAGCAATAAACAGAATTGTTTACCCTGGTTTGGGGTAGTTGGGTGGGGTGTTTGGAACCAGGCAATCACAGAACAGATAGGCCTTTCTTCTTCAATTAGATGGTGAATCTTTAAAATTCCCTATCCCTAAAAGGTTGTTGACTACACTCAGTGACTGAGCCTCAAGACAAAGATCAATAGATTTCTAGATAATTATTACAGGAGTAGCTAGATCATCTATAATCTAGTTGATTATGGTCTGCTAGCCTAATTCACCTTTTATTTCTGTAGGAGCTCAAGGTGTTGGGAGTGATATATTAAAAAGGATAGAGGATTGACTAACAGGATTCAGAAAGTCAGGTTAAATTGGAGTTATTTCAGGCTAGCAAACTAACTAATAGAGTGCCACTGAAATTAGAAGACTATCAATTATTTAGGATCCAAATGAATGATTTTGATGAAGGTACAAGAATGATTATAACTAAATTTGCTGGTAATACCAAGTTAGACCATAATATATAGGCTATTCAGCCCATTGAGTCTACTCTGCCATTATAGTGCTTTAACTGAAAGAATAGAAACACATTATTATTCAAATAAAGTGACACTGCAGAATGCTGTAGTATAGAAGTATCCATGTGACATTGTACGTGAATCACAAGAAATTTGCATTCACCTGCAGCAAATGATTAGGCAGGCATGTGGAATGTTGGTCTTTATTGCATGTATGATGGAGACCCAAAAGCAGGGAATTCTGGCTACAATTTACAATGCTGCTGAGTCCACACATATTTAATAAGTTTGGCCTCCTTACTTGAAGGATCTACTTGCATTTGAAGCAGTTCGACTAAATTCACTTTGTTTTATGAAGTATTGTAGTTTACAAGAATGAGGAAACAAACAAAATTTTGATGGGAATAAAAAACTGAAAGAACTGCAGATGCTATAAATCAGAAACAAAAACAAAAGTTGCTGTGCTTTCCCAGCAGGTCTGGCAGCATCTGTGAAGAGAAATCAGTGTTAACATTTTGGGACCGGTGACCCACGCCAAGCGAATGTTTTTCCTTAAGGCAATCCAGAGTAAGGGAGTTTAGAGATAGTAGGAACTGCCTATGCTGGAGTCTGAGATAACAAGGTGTACAACTGGAGGAACACAGCAGGCCAGGCAGCATCAGAGGAGCAGGAAAGCTGCATTTCAGGTCTGGACCCTTCTTCAGAAATGGGGGAATGGAGATAGAAGGTGGATAGTGGAGCAGATAGGTGGAGAGAAGATGCACAGGTCAAGGAGGCCAGGATGAAGCCAGTAAAGGTGAGTGTAGGTAGGAAGTGGGGGTGGGGGTTGGTCAGTGAGGTGGGGGATAGGTGGGAGAGAAGACAGACAGGTCAAGGAGGCGGGGATGAGAGGGGGCCTGGTCTTGGGATGAGGTCGGGGTGGGGAGATTGTGAAGCTCGTAAAGTCCACATTGAGACCATTGGGTTGTAGGGTTCCAAGGCGGAATATGAGATGCTGTTCCTCCAGTTTCCGGGTGGCATCGTTGTAGCACATTTTTCAACTATGCTATTTCCCCATTTAAAAGACAGAGATAAAAAGGAATTTTGACACCAGAGGGGGTTACAAGCTGGGTCATTTAACATTCAGGGGTATTAAAAGCTCTTACGGAGATTATTGATCAACAGAGCAAATTGTTATGGCAGCAGGCAACAAAGTGGAATTAAAGCTACAATCAGATCAGCCATCATAAAAACAAAGTGCTGGACAAACTCAGCAGGTCTGGCAGCATTTGTGCGGGGAAAGCACAGTCAACGTTTTGAGTCTGGTGACAATTCTTCAGAATTGATAGTAACTAGAACAGGTAGTTTCTACGCTGAAGACAGAGGGTGAGCAATTTCTGTTTATTTCCTTTCAGATCTTCGGCATCCACAGATTTTTGTTTTATATCAGCGCAATCATCATTTTAATGAAATAGGGAACAAGTTCGATAGAATCATAGAATCCCTACAGTGCGGAAAGAAACCATTCAGCCCACTGAGTCTGCACTGACCCTTCCAACAGCATCCCATCCCAGTCTAGCCCCCTACCTTATCCCTGTAACCCTGCATTTACCATAGCTAATCCACCTAGCCAGCACAGCCCTGGACACCATGGACAATTTCTCATGGCCAATCCACCTCACCAGCACATCTTTAAACTGTGGGAGAAAACTGGAGCACCGGTGAAAACTGATGCAACATGGGGAGAACTGGTTAGACCCGGCTTTATGAAGCAATTTCTGCTTTTGTTTCTGATTTCCAGCATCAACAGTTCTTTGTTTTATTATCACATTTCAAACAATGGCCAATTCGTACAGGCAGTAAGGTCTGTAAGGCTGGAATCAAACCCAGCCAGCTGGCGCTGTAAGGCAGTAGTGCTAACCACTGAGTCACCTGGAAATGGGGGGCAACTATCTACTCCTCCAATATATGATCTTATGTCATTAACTTCAGTACCATTATAAAAGATAGGCCAATATCTTAAGGAAGAACTGTTGTCAGAACTATGATGATGATGGTCCAACCATAAAACGTTAACCCTCCATTCTTTGCTTTCAAACATTCCCTCGTCTGATAATGTACATTATGTCGTTTTAAAATTAAAATAACATTGTATATTGACATTTTAAAATGTTTTCAGAGTTCCTAACAATTCAGTTCTCCCCTCCCCACTAAAAAGAAATTATCCCTGCACTAAACGTCCTGTTTTTCGGACCTGTTGTCAAATACTGAACTGAAGGTAAAACATTCAGCAGGTCTCGGAGAATCCTTGGAGTGAGAGAAAATAAACGTTAACATTTTCCCTCGATATCCCTTCAATAGAACCGAATCGGCTATCGGTTGAAATGTGATAATAAAACAAAGAACTGTGGATACTGGAAATCTGAAACAAAAGCAGAAATTGCTCGATAACCACAGGTCTGGCAGCATCTGTGCACAACGTTCCGAGTCCAGTTATGAAGGAGAGAAACTGGACTCGATACATTAACTCTTGAAATGTGATGTCTGTTTCGTAAATAAAGTGCTTTAATTGAAAAACAAGAAATGCTGGAAGGCACAGTTTTTTTTTAAGTTTTCAGACTAGATTCCAGGGTCTGCAGTAATTTGCTTCTACATTGGGTTTTAATTGAATATCATGTTGAGGTAGAGGTGCCAGTGGGGTGAGAAACTTATGATTTTGAAGCTAAACTTTCAGAAGTACTTCACAAGTTACAGACTGTGAAAGAGTCAACAAGAGAGCAAGTTCATAAAAGGAGTGGTGAGTCCACAAGCAGACACTAACAGCTCCACCTCCTCCCATACTTAAAATGGTGGCTTGTCAATAAGCTTCAACCGCGGCAGCAACCTGACTTAACAAGGTGTAGAGCTGGATGAACACAGCAGGCCCCATTTCTGAAGAAGGGTCTAGGCCCGAAACGTCAGCCTTCCTGCTCGGCCTGCTGTGTTCATCCAGCTCTACACCTTGCTATCTCAGATTCTCCAGCATCTGCAGTTCCTACTATCTCTGAAGCAACCTGACTTACTACGCTCTCGAGGCTGTAATGGAGCCTAAATCTGCCCCGGGGGTATCGTTATTATCGCGAAGTTTGTCAGCCGGCGGATCAGAGAACTTACGGAGTGTGAAACGGCGGCTGGAGGTCGCCGGAAACTTCCAGAGCGTCCGACAACTTGGGAAGGAAGTCCCACCTGCTGTTCCGCTTCGATTGGCTGTCTGTGCTATATGCTCGGCTGTGATTGGTCAACCTTGCTGCCAGTTAAAGTCACCAGACCGGAAGTGGATGGCGGCGGTGGATGTCGGCTGTGGTCAGTTGCAGCACGATCCTGAGTCTGTGTTTCTGGAGTTTCCCAAACCGAAGTACTAACTTGTTTCTGTCGCGGCATGGTTGACCTGCTGTGTGTTTCTATGGGCTGTGTTCCTCAAAAATCATTACTTAATATTGGACCCTGTGTAGAAAGAGAGCGCTCACCTTTTATATCCTTCCCTAAATCCCAGACTGTATTACTGTGGCACAACAGAATGTCCTGAGCCGTGTTCTCAGTTGTCCGGACGCGTAACATCCTGACAGTTATCCCGCGCAAGTCACCCCTTTTAAATTAGAGGGTAAACGTTTTAAAAGGCCCATGCACTTAAACGAATCGCCTGCACGCTGTAAATGTAGAATGGGAGGGTATGTGGGGTTGTATCTCATGAACAACTCAAGTGATTCTCAGGGACCTCACATCAAGCGAAAAACTGACAACGAGCCAAAGGAGCTGTTAGGATAAGAGAATACAGCTTATTCAAAGAGGTAGTTTTTGAAGATCATCTTAATGGCGTGTGTTTTACGGAAGGAGTGGAGTATTTCACAATAGGTAGGAACCATTTGCGACATTTAAGAGGTATTTAGATGATCACTTGAAATATAAGCCTACAGGTCAAGTGCTAGAGAGAGGGAGATTCCACTCACCAGCCTTGTATTTCTTTCTCACTTATCTACTTAATTTGTTTTCACTAATTCCATCCATGCAACTCTTCAAATACTCTCATGTGCTAGCAAGTTCCACAATTTAGCAATTCTCGAGAGTTTCTCTTGAATTCTTTATTGAATGTATTAGTGACTATCTGTACTGGGCTTCTTGAGTGCTTTGGCAACTTTGCCTATCTCCTGATTTAGGCATAGCCAATGGTGGAAAGAATTCATACATCTACTCTACATTGGCAGTTTGATGGGCTAAAGGTCCTTTTATAATTTCAGATCATGCTTCAGTACCTTAATGAAGAACTATGGAGTATGGCCTAATTCAGTCATTCTCTGGTGATGTTTTCCCCTCCCAATCCATTAGAGATGGCTTGATTTTCACACATAAGTGTGCAAGCTGTACGTGTGATTCATGATACATGATTATTGCTCTACTTATTATGGAAGACATGATTGTTGGCATTGGACAATATGATGTTTGCAATGTGTATTACTAAAACCCAGTTTGCATTTAATTTTTGAAGGCAGTTTTGGGAATGAATGAATTGAGAATGTTTGTGTTATGTATATGTTGTTTTTTTTACAGCAATGGAAGTTCAGCAGCATGAGAAACTCTCTCAGCTGGTTGAGGATCTCACCACATCTGGACAACAAGTACTAAACCCAGAAAAGATGAAGGAGCTAAAGAAAATCTGCAAGTATGGAGTTGTTAAATTGCATGTTTGTCGTGACCTCCCACCCACAGCCTCCAACCTCATCATTCCCCAACCCCGCAGCACCTGCTTCTATCTCCTTCCCAAAATCCACAAACCTGACTGCCCTGGTTGACCCATTGTTGACCCATTGCCTGCTCCTGCCCCCTGAACTTATCTCCACGTATCTCGACTCCATCTTCTCCCCCTTGGTCCAGGAGCTCCCTATGTACGTCCGTGACACCATCCACGCCCTCCACGCCCTCCAAAACTTCCAATTCCCAGGTCCCCAACACCTCATCTTTACAATGGACGTCCAGTCCCTATACACCTGCATTTCCCATGCAGGTGGCCTAAAGGCCCTCCACTTCTTCCTGTCCCGCAGGCCTGACCAATCCCCCTCCACTGACACCCTCGTCCGCTTAGCCGAACTTGTCCTCACCCTCAACAACTCCTCTTTCAATTCCTCCCACTTCCTACAGACAAAGGGGGTGGCCATGGGTACCCACATGGGCCTAAGCTATGCCTTCCTCTTTGTAGGTTACGTGGAACAATCCCTCTTCCGTAGCTACACTGGCCCTAAACCCCACCTCTTCCTCTGTTACATCGATGACTGTATCGGCGCCGCCTCATGCTCCTACGAGGAGCTCGAACAGTTCATCCACTTCACCAACACCTTCTACCCCAACCTTAAGTTCACCTGGACCATCTCTGGTACCTCTCTCTGTTTCCATCTCTGGCAACCACCTAGAAACCGATATCCATTTCAAGCCCACCGACTCCCACAGCTGCTTAGAATACACCTCCTCCCACCCACCTTCCTGCAAAAATGCCATCCCCTATTCCCAATTCCTTTGCCTCTGCCACATCTGCTCCCAGGATGAGGCATTCCACTCCCGAATATCTCAGATGTCCTCGTTTTTCAAGGACCGCAACTCTGCCCCCCCTGCCTACCTCAGTGGTCGAGAACGCCCTCGACCATGTCTCCCACATTTCCCGCAACTCATCCCTCACACCCCCTCCCCACAATAACAACCAAAACAGAATCTCCCTCATCCTCACGTACCACCCCATCAACCTCTGGATCCAACGCATCATCCTCCGACACTTCCGCCATCTGCAATCCGACCCCACCACCGAAGACATCTTTCCCTCCCCACCCTTATCTGCTTTCCGGAGGGACCACTCTCTCCGTGACTCCCTTGTCCATTCCACACTCCCCTCCAGCCCCACCTCACCCAGCACTTTTCCCTGCAACCGCAGGAAGTGCTACACCTCCCCCTACACCTCCCCCCTCACCCCCATCCCAGGCCCCAGGAAGACTTTCCACATCAAGCAGATGTTCACCTGCACACCTGCTAATGTGGTATACTGTATCCGCTGTTCCCGTTGTGGCCTCCTCTACATCGGGGAAACCAAGCGGAGGCTTGGGGGCCGCTTTGTGGAACACCTACGCTCGGTTCGCAATTAACAACTGCATCTCCCAGTCGCGAACCATTTCAACTCCCCCTCCCAATACTCAGACGACATGTCCATCCTGGGCCTCCTGCAGTGCCACAGCGATGCCACCCGAAGGTTGCAGGAGCAGCATCTCACATTTTGCTTGGGAACCCTGCAGCCCAATGGTATCAATGTGGACTTCACAAGCTTCAAAATCTCCCCTCCCCCTACCGTATCCCAAAACCAGCCCAGCTTGTCCCCGCCTCCCTAACCTATCCTTCCTCCCACCTATCCACTCCTCCCACCTCAAGCCCCACCCCCATCTCCTACCTACTAATCTCATCCCGCCCCCTTGACCTGTCCGTCCTCCCTGGACTGACCTATCCCATCCCTAACTCCCCACCTCCACTCACCTTTTACTGGCTCCATCCCCGCCTCTTTGACCTGTCTGTCTCCTCTCCACCTAAATTTTCCTTTATCCATCTTCTATCTGCCTCCCCCTCTCTCCCTACTTATTTCAGAACCCCCTTCCCCTCCCCCATTCCTGAAGAAGGGTCTAGGCCCGAAATGTCAGCTTTCCTGCTCCTCTGATGCTGCTTGGCCTGCTGTGTTCATCCAGCTCCACACGTTGTTATCTCAGTTGCTCTGATGTCAAGCTTACAAATAACATGACCTACGAGAAAGTAAAAGCTATACTGAAGAAGCATCTTTGACTTGCTGTGATGCACTCTGTGGATGGTTCACAGTACTGCTGCTGTGCCAGTGGTGGAAGGATTAAATAGTTAAGGTGATGGATAGGGTTCTGATCAAGTGGGCTGCTCTGTGCTGGTTGAGTCTTGGATGGTGTTGGGGCTGTGGAGAGTAAGTGGGGAGTATTCCATCATGGTCCTGACTTATGTTTTGTGGATAGTGGACAGTCTTTTGAGAGTCAGGTGGTGAGTTATTTGTTGCAGAATTTCTGGCTTCTGATTTGCTCTCGTAACTGTGGTATTTATATGGCTGGTTCAGTTAACATTTCTGGTCAATGGTAACTTCTAGAATTTTGATAGTTGGCATTCAGCATTGGTAGTACCATTGACTGTCCAAGAAGGATGATTAGATTTCCTCTTGTCGGAAGTGGTTGCTATCTGGCACTTGTGTTACTTGCCACTTACCAACTTAAGCCTGAACATTGTCCATGCTTTGCTTCAGAGCGGTTATATACAAATAAAGATACTGTAATTCCTAAACAGTTAATTAAAATGTGTACTCTTTTTACAGGCTATCTGAGGATTACATCAAGCAAGTGTATCACTTAATCATGACACAGCTAAACCAAGAGCATGCAGAGATCCGCCTATCTGCTTTCGAAATAGCAAATGAGCTATTTGTGCGTTCACATCACTTTCGGATGTTGCTTGTTTCAAACTTTCAGGAATTCTTGGCGTTAACAGTGGAATCAAATTATGAGCAACCTCTACCTCCACCAAAAGAAATAGCTCAAAAATTGAAGGAAATGGCAATGAAATCTGTAGAGGAATGGCACAGGAAATATGGTGAAGCTTACAAGAAACTTTCTCTGGGTTATCATTTTCTAAAGCAAGTTAAGAAGGTGAATAATGTATTCTGTCTTTTTATTAAGTTTTCAGTTTTAAAATTAGTTCATGGAATATTGGCATTGCTAGCTAGGTCAACATTTATTGCCCACCCCTAATTGCCCTTGAGAAGGTGATGGAGAGCTCTATTCCTTTTCAATGTTTGAGAAGTTAAATGCTAGAGACATTTGCATCACTGATCTGATGTTCAAAATTTTAAAGTACTTGTATCACCTATAGCATGTTCGTGAAATATTCAACTTAATACAACCTTGCTAAAATTAGTCAGACATTATTAATAAATTTTCATTGATTTTCTGTGTTTGAACAAGGAAAAAATATTCTGTGTAAATTGGAAATTATCTTGCATGCTGCCGAAGAACAAGCAACTTCTTAATACCCATGGAGTGCAAAATAAAACTTGATCATTCTAAAGGTTTATGCTGCACTACAAGAGCTGCATTTTAGTCTCGGAAAGATGTATGCAATGATATGTAGTGTGACGGCTCCACACAGG